TTGTGTCGTATGATAACCTGATTTAACTGTATGTTTTCTGGATTTTGTAAAATGCCAACCCAGAGTATATATCTTCCTTAGTTGGAGCACCCACTGGTACGGCACTTATTAGTGCGACATCTTCTGGATCAAAGATCGCCTGTAGGAGATCAATATTCCAAAAATTCGATCGACTATCTATAAGATTGATAACTTTTAAAGATGGATCAACAATTGATCCATTACTTTTTGTTGGTCTCGGAAATTGAGCTGGAAGTCCCATATCCGACTCTTTTAATAAGTCTTTTATTAATCAAAGATTTAGCTGAGCATATACTCCGCCATCTATATGATGGGGAGTATGATTTTATATTTTATAAAGCATTGGATTTCCGAAAATACTGCCCTTTAAAACTCTCGCGAAAAGAGAATCTGTAGTAACTGATATTTTTTAATTAAAAATATGTATTGAGAATCGATGTGGTGTTGATAATATTAGTTTACTTCTCTGTCCAAGAAACAAAACCGGAAGGAAGACAATAGTTAATTATATTGCTACTTGTTTCATTCTTTTGCCTAAAGATACACTGTTATGGCTTCTTCAGTTGTATCATTTTAGTTGTTCCCATGTCTTTTTTTTATTCATCTTCAATGCCTATCTTTAGGGCTCCTAAAACCATTTAAGTTTTCAAGCTTCTCCAAATATGAGAATTTCTTTGGCGTCATTTTTGGAGATTTTGGAGGTTTCTCTGATTGCCCTTTTGAACTATTGTCACTCCAGCCAATAAAATCAAGCAATGTCGTCTTTGATGAGTTTTGTGATTCAAGCTTCTCTGTTTCCTCTCCTGAGTAGTTCGAAGATCTCGCCGAGTCCGTTTCTGTTGCTAATTTCCCACCATCTGATGTTTCTTCACCAGTGCACTGCTTCCGGGCTAAAGAATCCGCATAAAGTACATCGTCGATTCTCGACATTTCCGTGTACCCTAAGCTCTCTAATATCCTCGAGTAGCTCTCCAAAACCGCGTGTCCAACATCCTATAGTTAGAACACATAAAGTGACAAATGAACCATCATATTTATGCTAATGATATCCTTCAAATTTGCTGATAGAAAACCAAAGTAAGGCTATTTAGTGTTACTAATCTTAATTTAAAATGTTATCTCAAAAATTTATACTATAGTTAAAAAAGAATGATTCATGACCACCAATATTTGAAGAATCTTTACTAGATGATGATTTGTCCGATCATATCCGAATATCAAAATAAAACAAGAACATTTGAGCATTACCTTGTTATACTGAATTTTGGAAATGTCAAGTGAAGATTGAGGAAGACCAGGGAACTTTTGTTTAAGCAAGACCAAGATGGTCTCGGCTCTCTCTTCGAACAACTCTCGTTTCTCCAAACTCACAGCTGATCCCCAAGAAGATTTGTTATCTTTTAGATGAAGTTTCCTTTTCCATATAACAATTGATGCCTCGATCCTGTTCTTCACATCCAACACTTTGTGCTCTGTAGACAAGTCAAGTGTGGACAAGAACTGCTCTGGATCAAACCACTCTTCTGTTATGCTCTTGTATAACGAATCCCCAAGGCTTACTCTTCCATTCTACAATAATCTAAGTCTTCTTAATAACCATTATTGATTTGTTTAGAATGGTATACGATATTATCTAATGATATCATAGAATAAATGCAAGCAAATCATCGAAAATATATACCGGTTTTAAGACAAAAAGAAAATTCACCTTTGGAAGAGACTCAATATAGCTATCAGGGATAGCCATTTCTGATAGAACTTGCGCATTAATAGCCATGGCGGCTTTTTGGACTTGTGAGACCGAATCTTTTTGAAAATGAAGCATTCTTCGGGCTGATTCGGACAAGCCATTAAGAGGGACTTTCACTGGAGGAAGCCACCACTTGTCCTTTGTCCTCTCATTCCGTGCTTGTTTCCCTTCTTCTGAATCTCTCGATACATACCAAAACTCATTGTGTCCTCTAAAATTGTCCAATGTATCCTAATATTTTACAATATCGTTCCATCAAATTTATTGCATAACAATATAACATACATGTATAAAAATATATGGGCACACTTACAATGAGCATGGCATCGAGTTTGCGGAGGGCCGGGATGTTCATGAGGAGATCACCTCTTTGTCTTGTAACCATAATCTACAAAGAGTCATTGAATCAGAATATGATCTCTGATGTGATGAATATGAAAGTGATAGTTATAAGTTTCAGGAAATGGAACCTCGGTGCAGACTCCTTCCTTACTAATCTGTTGAGATGGAACAAACTCGACGATGTGATCAGTTACAGACAACAACCATTCGATCTCTTTCTTCCACCTCGCTCGCCTATCCGGTGCCATCGGCTGCAACTTTGTTTGTTCCCCGAATATTGACGCTAGACATAAAAATTAAACCAAACTATAAATTGATTATATGTTACTTGTAGAGGAAGATAACTTTAAAAAAAATCTAAAGAACTACTTTTCCTACCGGCTAGATTTGTGATGGCATTTGATAGTGCCAAAGCAGAAGATACACCTTTACCACCACCTGACATATCTTCTCCCAGAAGTAATTTTGTGAATCTATCTTTCATCATCTCCGTTTCTACAATATGTAAACCCGCGAAATTGTAAGCTTTTTCTTTATATCTCTAGCTTTCTTAAACGAACAGAAATAATGAAAATGTTTCTTTATTCACCGGATTGTTGCTTGTCTTGTCTACGGGAAATCAGACGGGAAGTCATCGGGCGGCTAGTCTCCACGGGACTTCCACCGAGGCTTTCTTGATTTTGACTTTCCGGCATGGTTGATTCCACGAGATGAGCTTGTTGTTGTTCTTTTCCCGGTGAGGAATCGAACATTCTATCTAAATTGAATGAACTCGAAATGCTTATTCCTCGTTCCAACGATGGAACCATGGTACCAACACCTTTCTTTTGTTTTCTTCTCCACAATTACAAAATTCTTACTTTTAATATTCCAAAGAACGAGAGAGGATTTAGTTGTATGTAAATTGTTCGACAGATTATTATAGTATGCAACTACAAATTTTTCTAAATCTGTGAAAGACTTAATTATGACAAATCAAGGAAACGTGGGACGCACGAAAAGGAGGAAGAATCAAGAAAGTGTCACAGATTTAAGGATTTGAAATTTGTTCTATACCAAAATAGTAAATCAATATATAGGCAGAAAGCTTATTTAAGTTTTTTTTCTTTCTCTTTGGTGTTCAAAAGTAAATCAATGGTTTGCGATTACTACAAAATTCCATAAAGCCCGGGAGAGACAATAAACATGGCAACTATTTTAACAATAAACATAGATGCCTTTCATCAAATAAAACTATCATAGGTTCTTATAGTTATCCACCAAAATTTTGTTAGTAAAAATAACTTTTCAAAAGAAATGTGACTGCCAATTTTTTGCCTCTAAATTTGTCTGAGTAATTTGTGTTTAGTGAAATGTTTTTGGGATGAATTTAATTACATGGCATGTGACTAAGTTAAGTGTTATGAATTTCCGATGAATTTGGATGAACTTTTACATTGTAAATTTTTTAAGAAATTAAGGCGAAATATAACATCTTCTTCTTTTTTATGTTTTCTTTTTCATTACCTGTGTAAAATGAATAATTACAAACAATAAAACATTTTTCATATAAGTATCAAAACCTAATTCTTCTAACGGAAAACTTTGGGTTGTCGTAACTGCTTTTTATGCTTCGAGTAGGCCACTTGCCGCTCATTCTTTGAGAGCCATTTTACTCGGTATACACACTGATTTTCGAAGCCAAGTCCTAGTCTTCTTATGTTCAGCGATTCTTCTACTTTTCCATAGTAGTCTATTTATTTATATTTCCATTTCGGCCTCATCCTCTTTCGAATCTCTTTTCCTCTATGATTCATCATTTGTTTAATTGCTACATTTATGGACGATTCTTGATATATTATGTATTTATCACATTTGTGTTCTTATTTTAAATTTTGTTTATATATCGAGTTTATACATCTTTTAAGATTTTTCTTTGGAAATTTTTCATTCTCCTTCTGGAGTTAATCGTTTCTCTCTTTTTTTGGAGTCTATATAAATCATAATAGGTCACTGAATGTTCTTATCTCGATCTAACACTTGTTCTCATGTTTTGTTCAACCTTGTTTTTGTTTCTGAAGTATCATGTAATATATTTTCTGATTTGAATATCGGAGAATTGGGAGAAGACAACTCATCTTTATTTTCTTGTTTTGTTCTATTAAACAAGTTTTCTTGATTTCAACGACCGAAAAACCACCCGAACATTTAGAAATTAGAACCCAAGAAAAAGGAAACATAATGATTAGACAATTAAAATTTCATTTTTCATACTTTTGACTTTTTTTTGCCTCTCCTTTTATACTTTTAACCAATGTTTAAGACAGTGGTAGACATTAAGTGATAAACATAATGACCCATCGCCTAAAACGCTTCATCGGAGCCTAGGGGATTTTATGCGGTTTAAGTGTTTACAACATAAAATAATATAAATATAGATAAAAATCATATAAAACTATATATTAAAAATAAAAATAATAAATCATAAACAAAAATTAGATAAATATATTTTTTTAATTTATATCAAACAACATATGAACGGTTATAACCATGTATATCAGGGTAAAACTTATAAACTTAAATCTATGTAGTTAAAAATTGAAAAAATACCCTAAAACAAAATTTATGCTATTTTAGGCGGTAGAGATGGTCATCTATGCGTCACCTGAGCGTCTAGCGCCTAGTCGACGCTTAAACGTATAGACCGCTTTTAGAACACTGCTTCTGATTTTTTTTTTTTTTTTTCGTTTCATACTTTTGACCTTGTGTGCAAAACCAAAAGTAGAACGATATTGTCAAAGATAGATAGGAAATCTCTCCCCAACTTATGCATAATTCACTCAACTAACCCATTTTCCCTTCTTTAATAAAAATTATATCACTTTATTAATGACCCTAACCTTTAGAGTCGATAGTCATCTTTCTAAATATTTGTAATTGAAAAAATATATTTTTTTGTTGATAGTGCTATGTATTTATTAAAATAATGTATGGTTCCGCACTATATACGGGTCGAAATTATTTGCAGCAAAAGTAGGACGATGTTTAGGTATATAAAACGAGATAAAGTCATCTAGGGACATACACATATCGATATAAATAATGCGTTTTGCTGTAATTGGAAGAACATTAAGATTACAATCAAAGGCAAATTAAAGAGTGAAGAGAGCACTTGAGTAATACAAGAATGGCCGTGAAGCACATTTACCTCTTTCTCTTCTTATACATTGCTCTTCTAGTTTCAGGTATATATAATTGTATGATCCATAGAAAATATTACTATCTTTCCGGTTAAAAACTTTTTTTTTCATTTTGAAAAATACAAAATCTTTTTGATATGATGATACAGAAGGGATGGCTACTACTCCAGGCCGGACTATGACCACAACCGCGGGAAGACCGGATGGGAAGACTGGTCGGACGGAATGGCTGTACGTAGCCGGAGAATGTGCGAAATTACCACGTTGCAACAAATATTGCGTCACCAATGGGTTTCATCTCGGTGGGTTTTGTAAGAAATTGTCCCCTCAAGCTTCTTCTCTCTCTTGTGTCTGTAAGTATACCTAGGTTTCATCAAACACATGATCAGTTTCCTCTTTGGTGTTGGGAGAGATAATAAAGTGTTGTTCAGAAGTTAAGCCTTGACTTGTTGGTCCATTCTACTTGTAATGGTTTGAACTTGTAAGCCTTGTATCTCTTTGTTGTTTAATAATTCCGACTTTAGAAAATTAGATCATGCTATAAAGAAGCATAATTCTTAAAGTTTGATCTCATAATAAGAATCTTTGAATTGGTTGTACTTAAATGATTCAATTGTGTATATGGACTCCGGTAGGTTACAGTAATAACTAATAACTATAAGATATGAAAGCTTTTACCAACACTGCCGAGTGTGTTTTGGTTAATTATTGTTTTGTGAAAAGTTAATGAACAAACATATTTTGCTTTCCCGGAAAATAATTATGCTGTGGACCTATTTTCGTTCGATAAAACATATTATCTTGTTGTGTCATCTGATCAAATAATTAGTGGAAGATTTAGAAATTTTTTGTTTTATTTTATTTCTGAAAATAAATATTTATCATTAAAAATCTTAAAATGGACCTGGCCTTGGCCCATACAAATTTAGAATCAGTAACAAAAAGAAGATCGGAAGAAGTCACCGAAAACAAAATCGGAGGCTCGGATCTTGTTGATTACTGGTAGCAGAAAGTCAGACGCATTAGATCTCGCGAATTCAAGATCCACGGCTTTGCGACAGAGAAGAAGGATTGAAACACATCGTTGGAAGAATCCGGTTTCCGACGATGCATCATCATCGCGCCAAATCTCGCTACAAACCTCCCAGAAAACTCGACTCTCCGACTAACTGGCATGGCTCCACGTCGACAGATCCCGACCGAGCAATTTGTCGCACAGGGACCAAACCCCTCCAATCCAGATCTGAACATCTTCAAACCTCCAGAGCAGAGAACTTTCGATCAAGTCCGGTGGATGCGAAACCGCAGCCGGATCCACGCATCGATGGCTCAGAAAGCAACCCAACCTGCGATAGCCCTCTAAGATTGAAGATCTGCAGCTAACCACAAAACAAAACAACCCATCCCTCCAATTCCCTTCTGAGTTCCGCTGTAGCCGCATCGACCGGAAGAACTGTAAAGCCGCGAGAAAACATCTAGGCAAACCTTCCGGCGTCCTCAACCGGAGAGCCACAGCACCAGAGCTACTCAATCGCCCTCACCGAAGCCACAATTACCTCAAAAGGGGGAAAATCCACACCTCGACTGTCAGAGAAAGAGCTTTGCTCACCGCTGAAACCATTTTTGCAGAACCGCCGCCGATGATGAATCTCAAATTAACAAAACCCTAGATCTAGAAAATCTTCACCAAGCGAGAGAGAAAAGCAGGCTTCCTAATGCAACGATTGTCCAAATTTAGAAATATTTTTTTAGGAGAAACATATATTTGAATATCTTTTTTTTTTTTGTCAACCACACATTAATTAAAAAAACTCCTTGATTGGTTACCCAATTAGGAGGAGAAGTGTTTACAAAGGTAGCTTCAGAAAATAAAAGTCTAGACGAACGGGCTAAGCAGTTCGCTTTAATATTACATGAATGAGAAATAAGAGAAAGCGAAAAAGAGTGAAAGGAGACTCGGAGCATATCAAACTCATCTAACAGGTTGGAGAATACTGGTCATTCATCAGGTGACTGTAGCATCGAGACTAACTCTGAGCAGTCTGTTTCAAACGCCTGACAATCAATCCTTCTTGAAAGGATATTCTTCATAGCCCAAATTAATGCTTCCATCTCCGAGTGAAAGGGGATGGGGACCTCCTAAGGCACTTAGCACCAATCGTCTGAGCACTTCCTTGAAAACACCACCATCCTAAGCCCATAGTTGGATCCGAAGATTTCCAAAAGCCATCAATCCGACATCGTAATGAAAAGAACGTTAATACTATATATATTGCCATTGGAAATGAATTAACTTATAAGTTTATTTGAAAACTAAATAAATGAAAAAATATGTCATCAACTGCCGTTTAGTATTCCGAACGAATTGTCATTGGCCTTTAGCCAACTATTGTTCGAGCTCAAATTTGACAATTTTAAGGTTTATTTAGATAATTAATTAGTTGGGGGTTTTATATGGGAAAAAACAAAATTGAAGGTTTTTGTTTGTAAAATGTTTCAATTTAGAGTTTTTTTCTGGGACTTTCCCCTGAAAAATATAATACGATATTTTTTAAAAAAGGAACAAAAAATTAAAAATTGACTATTTTAAAAACAGATTTTGCCTGACTAATCTCTAAAAATACTATAAAAATTAAACTCCACCAAATTTTGTGAACATGACTTTTACCATCATAATATGCACTACATACACTAATGCATGGAAATAATGCAAATATTTATTTATTCTCAATTGGTCAATGAACAAGCATCAAATAAGGAAAAAGAGACGCCAAGGATTGTGTCACACTAATAACACATCTCTAAATAGCAAATTAAAACTCGAACCACCAATGTCCCGAGTCAACCTCCCCATTGTCCCATCCAAATCAATCCATGTGTCTTCTTCACATGTACCTCATCTCCTATACATTTTTCCAATTCCATTATATATACTTAAATCCTTCAAATTCAACTAATTAACAAACTAATCACATTACTAATCAGCAGAAAGAAGAGCCCTAAAACATGACAAGCTTCACGGTCGTCGCAAGACTCATCACAAGAGCTCCTAGAGTTCGTGCTTCCGTCCCAACAAGACTCGTCCATGTAATCTCTTTTATTTTTCGTACGAATTTATGATACATTAATTATTTAATAGTTGTAACAAATATTAATTATCCTTCATTTTTTAAAATGATTTAAGGGGACTACGTCTACGAGGAAAGAAGCCTCCGTCTGTGACAAAGCCTCAGAGGCTCAACAAAAGGTATCCTTTTTTCCTAAAGTTTAATTTCAGCCTTTATATCAATTAAAAAAAAAACAACTTTGGTCTTAATGTTTTAAACATCAATTTTTGCAATTTGCATTTGCGTTTTACATGTCCCATTTGTGTGTTTTGAATATTTTAAGTATAGTTTCTGTCTTTATTTGAGTTTCACATTTATAACTACCACATAAATTTTGTTTAAATTTTTGAAATAGTTAGTTATAATATATAGAGTGTAGAAAAAAAATTAAAAGAAAAAATGTTTTATTTATTTATTTGTAATTTGCCTTTACATTTGGTTTTATGCTTCCCTTAACCAAACTAAACATGATTGGTGTAGGTGGCCAAGAAGGCAGACGAAGGGGCACAGACGATCTCGGATGCGGCGGGTAACTTGAAGGATAAGGCAAAGAACACTGCAGAGGAGGCATGGGATAAGGTGAAGGACACTACGGAGAAGATCAAAGACACGGTCACCGGAAAAACTGAGGAAACCAAGGAGTCTATTAAAGCCACAGCCAAGACCGTCGAGAGAAGCATGAACACCAAGAACCTCAAATAATAACACACTAAATTTTTGAAATCTTCAATATATTAAATAAGATGTTATTTACCTAATGATTTTGTTTTAATCTGTTTACACTTTTGGTTTGTATTGAGAAACGTATGCATTATTAGGTAAGAATAAATCTGGTTATGATCATATAGAAAACTCATGTTTGTTTTATAAGATTATTTTGATATATTTGTAAATCTTAATTAAAACATTTTATGAAAGACCAAAAAGAATGAATGGTCATTATATTTTGGGGTTTCTGCTAAAAAAAATCATATCTGTATATTGTAAACGTTTATATAATATTTATATCATATGTATATTATAAACGTTTTCAAATTCACATATATTAGATTTGTAAAATTCTAAAAGTAGAGTTATACTCCTCCTCGCGAGAGTTTTGATTTGACATTTGCAAATTTTGGATGTGGAGGGTAAAGTTGCTTACACAAGACCTAGTCCAAAGCACATTGATGCCGCTTCATCTTAGCCCCCAACCACTTCATTCGTCCTTGGTCGTCCCTTACAATCCATCCAACTCCACATCTATTATTCTCCTTAGACCAAGAGGCATCTACGTTACATGTTTATCACATCAATCAATCCTCTAGGTTACTGTGTATATGATAACATGTTAATTTATGATAGTTTTGTTTGACTATTTTTTTTTTTTTTTGATCAAAGTTTGATTATTTTTTATGTTTATGCCTCAATACAATAAAACTGCTAAGAGTCTCTCCCTGAAACCTCAGCTTTTTCATTTGTTTTCAGTCTGACACATCATTAAAAAATTTATCCAATCAAATTATAACATTAATACAACTCATAATTTTCGTCCACTAAAAATCCTCCCATCTTCCACATCATTTTCTCATATCATCATCTTGGGCTTTTTATAAATGCCCATCTTAGTTTTTTTTAATTTTTGGGCTTTTTAAATATTTGGGTTTATAACCACAAACCCCAAACGTGATTTGTCTTTGTTTTGTTGAAATAGGCTTCTGGGTTTTGCGTTCTAATGGATGAACAAATCATCGGATTTCGATTGTAGCCGTCAATAGCTTTTTGGAAGCTCAATTTGCGATTTCTCTCACCACACCTCGAGGTCTCGGCTCCTCTTCCGGATTGCTTGATCCTCGTCCATTCCCAAACACATAGTGTTTACCTAGACAAGAAATCCAGGTGAAAAATTCCACCTCCTTCGAATTCTATGTTTCGCTTCAGTGGCACTATATATATATTACTTGATATGAGCAAGGATCTGCTGATTTTGATAAAATAGCAAAAGCATTTTGTTGGTCCGAACCTTTTTTTTATTCGATGAAGATGACGAAGCTCTGATTTCGATAACTTCAGACTTCTAATTTTGGTTCTCAGTTCTTCGTGTGCTCCCGATTTATCTTCTAATTTTGTGTCCATTGCAGAAATCGAGCTTCCACAGGAAAAACTCATCACCTGAAATTTCTATGTTGTGGCTTTGTCAAAGAAAACTACTATGGAGGAGATTTTGAATAAGAACAAACTGATTCAGTTGGACAAACAACACCTATCATTCTCCAAAGCCAAAATGGAGCTTGTCCTTTGTTGGCAATTTGTAGTTTACTAGCTATTGTCGAGGATTTAGGTCATCATGCTGGTTATTACAAGCTCTTGAAATCTCGTGGAGCAAGGTCTTATATCTAACATTCGATTTTGGTTTATGATTTTGGTTGTCTTTTAATTTGAGAAGAAACAAGAATTTTAGTGTAAAGTAACGGACTGTAATTCGAAGCTTGTGTGATTGAATGAGTAAATTATATTGAAGAAATTGAGTTATTCATTGAAATTACTTTTTATGCTTAAATTTGGGTTCTTTATCTTGTTTTGATATCGTTACTATGGAAATGATGTTAAGTTTGGAAGCGTGGCTTCAGGAGAGGATTTGGGTTTGTTTTATCTAAAGACAACTCTGTGTGCCTCACATTTTTTTAGTTTAACTTCTGACATGTTGCTTGATTCAGGGATCGATTAGTCTTATATTACTTTGTTAGGTGGGAATTAGATTCTTTTTTATGGATATGGCCTTTTAATATGAGTGGATGGTTGGACCTTACGATGCCAATATTTAGTAATAAAATCTTCTTCCTTGGAAGTGAGTAGTTGTGAGTTGTTGCATGGTTGAATTTAGATTTTTAGAGCTTTTTTTTGGGAATAGTTATAATAATGAGTTTTGGTTATTTTCTTTAAATCCAAGCCAGTACTGTGCTAACCGTTTTACGGATTGTGGGTTTGAGGAAAAGGGGCTTTGGATTATTACTGAGTCATGCCTTTTACTTTGACTTGATATTATAAAATTGGACTTGGGTTTAGTTCATCAACCTAAATCCACCAATTACTAAAACAATTGTATTCATAGACATAGAAACACCACTTTCGTTTCAATCATTATTGTTGAGGATTAATCTTAGGATTATACAATAGTTTTATGAAACAAAGTAATAAAATCTTATTGATATGAAAATTCAGTTAATATTTGATGCATAAGGTACATATCAATTTAAAAAATTACATTGAAAAAAATACCCGCGCTACGCCGCGGTTTCGCCCTAGTTAGATTTAAATACACAACGTAACTAGAAATAACCATGTTATGAAAAATTATATATACCAATGACTAAAACGATAAAATGATTATAAGCTTTTAATTTATCCACATATGATTTTGTGATATCTCAATTATATTATTACTTTATTAGTAACCAGATTAAATGTATTGATATAACAAAATTAACCAAAAATGTTTAATGAGAATCATTTTAAAAGATTAGGAAAATTAAATTTGATTTCGTACAATTTATTTTCACATGAATGTAAATAATGATTTGAGTTGCTAAAATTCGATCTTATAAATATATCTTATCTCCTTTTTTTTTTTTGACATTTTTGGATTGACAAGGCCCAATCTATGGTCAATCCCTACTACACGGGTAACGCGACTTAGTGGAGTCGAACTCCGGTGGGGAAGACGGAGTCAAATGGACTTAATCACTTGACTAAAGGCACATCCCCGATATCTTATCTCCTAAAGAAGATTTTATTGGAAATTTATATAGATAGTAATTTTCTTAAATTAATTTTAGTTGGGAAGATATGCAGTTTTTGTTAATGCCTTTAATTGATTATTACAAGACTAATTAATTTACACTAATTCTATAATGGCATAAAATATAACCAAAATAAATGTTTCTTTCTCAAAATGGTATCCTTTTTTATATAGTAGATTTCCTAAATATTGTTTCAACTTTTAACTAAAAATAGAACCATACTTAGGTTTACCCCTGGGGTGAACCTTTAAATTCACCCAACAGATTATAGCCAATCGTTTTGCCATGTCATTATTAATACTAGAGAATTAAAAAAAAAGAAACACAATTAAAAAAAAAGGAAATCACAAAATAGATTTAGGGTTTAAGGTTTATGATAGGCCTGGGCGTTCGGATATTCGGGTCGAGTTCGGGTCGGGTTTTTCGGGTTCAGGTTTTTTGGGTTTAGAAAACTAAGACCCGTTCGGGTATTTTAAAACTTCGGGTTCGGGTCGGGTTCGGATCGGGTATTTCGGGTTCGGATTCGGGTTTACCCGAAGTATCCAAATATTAGAAATTTTGTAACCGATTATATGCAAAGTATTGAAAAATACTCAAAAAATCTATAAAACCTAAGTATTTTATACCCGAATGTAACCCAAAGTAGTTAAAACACTCGGAAATATCTTAACATCCGAATAATTAAGGCACTTAGGTTATTACAAGTATAAATATTACTAATATATTATCACTATGTACTTATATTTGGGTATGTTCGGGTACTTGTTCGGGTTCGAGTTCGGGTCGGGTTCGGGTTCGGGTTTTCGGATTGTGAAGTTTAGAACCCGTTCGGGTATTTTAAAACTTCGGGTTCGGATTCGGACCGGGTTTTTTGGGTCGGGTTCGGTTCGGTTCTTCGGGTTCGGGTATTATGCCCAGCCCTAGTTTAGGATTTAGGGTTTAGGGTTTAGGGTTTAGATTTTACAATTAAAACGAAATTAGATGTCGGTTTGGGTTGCCAAATGAGTGGTTAGGGTTTAGATTTTATAATTAAAACTAAATTAGATATCGGTTAGGGTTTAGGGTTTAGGGTTTAGATTTTACAATTAAAACAAAATTAGATGTCGGTTTGGGTTGCCAAATAAGTGGTTAGGGTTTAGATTTTGTAATTAAAACGAAACTAGATATGGGTTTGGGTGGCTCAATGTGATAAGGGTCCAAATTTAACAATTAGAACGTGTTATATATTTTTTATCCTATGGTCTTATCTTTCAGAGGTATTGGGTGGAGTGACCTATCAAAAGAAGCATCACGTCAACCCGTGCTGGACACAACAATCACGAAA